TCGGGAAGTGAGCGAACACATTCCCGGCATTCGTTCACTTCTCGATCTAGTCACTCCACAGAGCTGTGACAGGGGAGGGACTGGATTCCCCCCTCCCCGCTCCTATCCTCCAGTGCTGACTGGCGGAACGGGCGGGGGAGGGGGTGGGTACAGATGGCTCTGCCTCTAGATAGGCAGAGCCAGCTGTCACTCACGCTGCTGGGCGGATCCAGACATAATTGTTCCCTATCAGCTGCGGCGCCTCAGTATACCGCGAGCTGTAGCTCGCGGTATACTGAGCTTAGGGTGACGGGAGGATGTTGGTTTGTGTCCTCCCATTACCCCTAGGAGAACTATGGGGGAAAGCCCTAACCCCATAGTTCTCCTTTAATGTTAGCTGTACACATGAAAAGGACTCACAAACATTATTGTTAAGTTATTTACAGTACACATTTGTTTAAGATGGACCAGTTATCTACACAAGTAACACACTCCAGATACACTACATGTACAGTTGCTGACTATAGATAACAGAGCTGGAAAGGTTTGCAGATGGCAAGTCAAAACGTAGCCAGTGGTGACCTTCTATGAATCTAGTTGAAGGTCTCCCTGTGAAGGTGATGGGTGGGCAAGGCTTGAGCTGGCCATGCATATTTAGCAGGCTGAACGAGAAAAAAAAACGCTCAATTTCCCATTCCACGCCATTTAGCACCGCTATACCCCAACATTGACTGGAGCTGATTGGCTGCAGCCACTGCTCAACCAACAATTTTTCTGCACCAGCTCCTTCTAGTTTGTCAAGTCAGGCGAGGCCCACAGGGCCACCAACAGCTTAAGTTTAACACACTGCTTACAGCTTCTTGGTTTTATTGCCGTCTATGACTCAATCAGCGATATTTCCCGTTATTTTGTATTCCTGTGACATCAGGATAAGAGATGGGGGGTGGGGGGGACCTGAGTCAACAGGGCAGGAGGAATAGACAACAAAACCTAGCAGAGGTTCTACCACTACTACTTGCCAAAGTCTACAAAAAAGTGTATTTGCTTCTACGTACTCACTAGATTTCCCACTATATCCTGTCCGTCTGAAACCCTGTAACTGTAAGTAGCGATTGTCAATCTCCAAGTTAGGAACTTAGGCTCCATTCACACCTACATTTTAATTCAAGTTAATGATCGGGTGGTACACTGCATGTAATCATTTGTAATACGTTTACATGCGGTTAGGAATCAATCACTATCCCTGCAGACAAGATAGTGATCGCTTCCTAACCGCATGTAATCTTATCACATACGAATACATGCAGCTGTCAACCGATCATTAACTTAACAGGTGACAGCTGCTGCCTGTAAACAGGATATTACGGATTCATGCTGCAGGAGATCGCAGGTTCCTGATGCAGGAATCCCTAATCGCACCTAAACTATAGCTGTGAATGAGGCCTAAGACAGCAATAAGAATCTGATAGAGTTTCTAACATCTCTCTACTCTACCCAAACAGAAAAGTGTTGGATTGAGCTAGGCTTTAAATGAGATGTTAATCATTCTTAAATTAAGATCAAAAGCAGAAATCTCCATTGGATTCACGCATTTTCTTTTCCTCCCTCGACTGTAATTATACAAACATGTTATCGCTTCATTCTAGTAATTTGTTAAGCCATAAAGCGGTCCAGTCATGAAGCAATTTTCCAGCATACACCACAGACATCAGGTCAGGGTGGCTTTGCATGGTGCATGCAGTTAACTGCAGCAGCTTGTGCTAAGGGACATTATAAACAGGGGTGTTCAAACAAGTGAAGGTAGGTGATGTGGACTGCTCTTTTATATACAATACCAGACACTCTAATTTAGCAGCCTTTAAAGATAAGCTGAAATATACTTCAAGAGGACATCTTAACGAAAGCCAGAGAGATTGACGGAAACATGGTGAATGTATTTCAGATGGCATCTGCTGGCACTGTAGCAGGCAGCAGTGAAACTCAATGTTGTGTGTACAAATTATCACAGCGTCTCAGTGCTTACACTCATCAGCTTTGCACAACTATTACTATTTTCTAAAGTGAAAAAGGAATTGGACAAAACTAGTTCCAGCTGGAATTTCACTCTAAAGTCCTCCTGTTGATTGGCAGCTACTTAAATTGCCTTATTTGAAAAGCACGCAATGTGGATAAAATGAGGTGCAGACTGAATGACCACGGTCAAATTACCCGTCTTGCAGTTAGAGTAGTTTCAAGGATTGCCATTAGAGTAAACAACAGCTACATTTTCCTGAAGTCAACCTGTCACTGTATATTAACATTTCTTAGTCCATCAAACTATCTATGTATCCACATAGCCATTTATTGCTCCAGCTATCTGCTCTTTTCACGTATATGATCTGTGGATAAAACGAAATTCTTGGCCTTTCTCTCCTTCTGTTATTCAAGGTAGGGATAATTAATGTTATTTTACTCAGGTTTTCAAAACGCAAATATACAGTAATTATTTGACTATTAAATAACATGTTATGCATTTTAAAAACAGCCACATAAGCTATCATGATTTTATAAAGATGATGTCCCCATCTCTGAAAACATAGGAATATTGACACTGGCACTCCAAATGTGTCTATTTATTGACACAATTGATGGAGGTGCCCTCCGCACACCTTTCAGCAGTCCCGGCCAACAATCAAATAAATGGTGCTCGAAGTAACTTCACGGATGGCACCGTGCAAAACACAAGATTGAAGAAAATAGGTCACCAGCACTCCATAAGTTAAAATGAATGAGTCCTTTTAATGGACAATGATGTCACAGAAATCCCGGGATTTCTGTGACATCATTGTCCATTAAAAGGACTCATTCATTTTAACTTATGGAGTGCTGGTGACCTATTTTCTTCAATCTATTTATTGACAGACATGCAGCAAATCACATAAATTGCAATGTTTCGGTGTCTCGTAGGATCCCCTTCTTCAGGCAGAGCATGAATCATCACATGCTGTGCCTGAAGGGGATCCTGCGAGACCCCGAATCCTTTCTATGCTGCCACTCGTTAACACCATTGTACCCATTTATTCTTCTATGTGGAGAAAATAGGACAGGAGTGCGATGGCTTCCTGGATTATCTCTGAAAACAAACTTGCTTAATGTGTCTTCATACCGTTGAAGTCCATACACAGAGCCTTGTTAAGATGAGACACTGGAGAGTCAGACTCAGGAGAAGGCCATTTTTTTACAGGGACAGACTGACTATCTGGAACCATTTAGGGGAAGGGATTGCTTGTCATGGGAAATCCCATTTTTTGTAAATAAAATATATTACATTGGTGATGCAGAGGGAAAATCTTTGCAGCACAAAGATGCTGCAAAGATTAGTTCCTTTAGGAACTAAGGCAAGACACTGTAGTAGGTGACGCAACAATGCACAGCCTCAAATAAAATTTCCTTTTGGTGCTTTAATTGGCGTTTGGAAAAGAAGAGACACAGCATCTAAGTCCTCTAGACTCTAGAGGATTTTTGACAGATTCAGAAGAGTGAAAAAACCTCCGAGCTATGGAGTAGGAAAAGAGCAGCCATGCATGTCCCTAGTTAGCTGCCTTGGGCATTTCAGAACCTGCAGCAAGTAGAAGGCAGCACCAGCTGTGTGGGCATGCACACATCTCTGCTGTATAATGCACTTCTGATAGATGTAAGAGCCAGCAGAATGCGTTCGTAAAGCAGCCAGAGCGCTCATTAGTGGGCAAGCGCAAGTGCACAAATAAAACTGTCATCAAGAAAGAGTCCTGGCCTGAAATGCAAGCGGCAGGGAACTCAAAACAGAAGCTTGGGTCAGAAAAAAAAAAAAACACTGCCCACCTGTCTGCACAGAAACATTGCCCATTAATAATCAAAGGGAGGGAAGACCTAGTCCCCTACATTGTTACTACTGCCGTTTCTGGTGTATACTAACTGCTATCCTCTCCAGTAATGCTACACGAGATGGCTGCAGTACATGAAGAATCCCCAGTGCAACCAGAAACTGGACATACTCTTAACATGCTATAGCCATGGTCCTCGACACCCAGCAAGGCATGCCCAAACAAATACTGCCTGATCTTAAAATGTAGAGTCCTGTGATAGCTGAACACAGATTGGGCCATTACTGCTGGGAATGCAGAACCATCACAGAGGTAACACCAGTATGGAAAACTGAAAAACCTGCACTTGATGGATTGGAGTTCCAGAATGTAAAATATCCAGTAGAAATCTACCATTCACTCATTGGCTAACTAAAGAGACTTTCAGGATTTTAAATATCTGGCATGAACCTACCAGCATCAGTTGATGTTAGAAGTAAATCTTCCAAAATCAAGAGAAAAAAATTCTAGCAGAGAGGAGGAAACATCCATTCTCCTTTGGATACCAAGCATAAATGGCAATCTGGGAGGTGATATAACTTTAAAGTGGCAGGCTTGCAGTTTATTTGTGCCTAGTTTCCATTTCTGCTATAGTCAGCAATTTAACCATATGTTGCTCAATGCCATCAAGCTCCCTCAATTGATGATACAAAAACACTTGTTTGCTATGAGACATCCAAAACTTTTTAATAATGCATCTTGTTATAAAGGCTACTTAAACATGTATGTAACAAGTAAAACAGTATCCTCATTCTGTATCATGTCTTGATCTGACTAACTAATTTGGGAAACCCGATCTTAAACATTTACGAGGATGGCTACAGGTTCCCGTAGACTTGATGTAACGGACTCCAAATTGAGCCACAAATTAAAGGACTAGACCTTGTCTGTGGTTGGCCCCTGAGCCTGCAGGCCACCTGCTGCTGAACATTTCAGGTCAATATTGTTTATCTGAATTTGGGCCAGCACCCACTCCAAGGTCTACCCACTTTCTCTCTCCATAACATTTACACTAAAAGGTTTGTGGGCTTGTGCTCTCCTCTGCTGATCCTGAGGGTGGTATGGTGTCTGCATGTTTGAGTGCCCTTAGAACATTGTAGGTAGTTAAATATACCTGATCTGCAATTTTTGCACCCAAGCTTTTTGTGAAATGTAAGCTTGTACAGACCAAATTAAAATTGCGGGTGCTCTTTAGTCAGTTAAAGGTCTATCAGAAAATCATCTATCACATTATGCCACCAAACAGGGTTTTAGTTACTCAGACATGAAAAGACAGTAGGATGACAACTACTTTACACGCATGACAAACATGAAAACACATTTCTGCTGCCCATTCACATTCATGAACTGATCCGACACCCCTGGCTCTGGACTAACCTCAGTAAAGCAATAGCAATTGTTCTATGACACCCAATCTCGATGGTTTATTCTTCCTCCAAAATCGTTTTGCCAATACATTTATGTACAGCATTCACAGAAAGGTAATTTCTCGATCAGACTGAAGATGGCAGATGGACAAATGATGCCCTTTGCAATTCTTAAAAATCTGTAATCTGCTTGGCTACTGGGCTGGAAACCGTCACTATAGGGACTCCTTAAGATAAGACTATTTAAACTTCATGGCCTCTGGGAGGAACAAAAGAGAGGCCTCATCACTTTTCAGAGCTCTTTGAAGTCAACCTCACAATACAGTAATTTGGGGCATATCCGTGCTATGTTTATGTGTGACAGAACACTGTACACGTAAATGGAAAAACATCAGAAGAGACTTATGAAAAGAGGAGTCACTGTCTTGACTCGAGACTCAAGTGTTTCAATTTTTCCTTGAGCTACTGAGCTCTGTATGGATTTTATCAACAAAGGAAATGAGGAAACCCTGAAAAACAGGTTATTAGGAGCCAAGAAATCCAACTGCTGGCTGCATATGCAAAACACATACTATTCAAATGTAATATTCCATATTTATCTTAATTTTTGGTCCAGACCACGCTATTGAAAATACATACAAAATAACTATGCGTCCACAAAGCTAATGTTTGTTTGCCGTTAAAGGGCTTTTAAAAGATAATAACATTGGGTGACCCTTTATCCTGCTGTCAGCTATATTTGGTATGCATGATGCATCACTTAAAAGGTCCTGCTGGCAGTTGTAAGAATGTATGGCCACTGAAAGCCTTAAAATTGAAATCGTTTTTCAGAACTATGTGGCAGCATTTACTAGATGTTTTGAGATAACTAATGCCGCTTTAACTGTTCAGGTAGTGCAACACAGCACATATAGCAAAACCTCAGGTAGAGCACTAAGAAGGTTTACTAAATGTCACATTTAGATTTATTTCCCCATCAAATGGAGAATATAGCCTGTTCAGTAATGATCACTTCAACACCACAACAGCTGGAGGACCGAAGTTTGGCTGCCCCTGATCTGTAGCTTCATCTCTTAAACATGTCAATCTTTTAAACAATAGTGACGTGCCTGTATGAAAGAAGACAGCCTAACCATATAAGTACACCTGGTACTGCTCCCACACTCCCATGTGCAAAAACATCTTGCTTTGTTTTGTGCTGCAGTTCTGCCATGCAGTTTAAAACCACTGAAGTTTGCAGACATTACAATAAAAGCTCAGTAGCAAAAGTTTAAGTGGTTGTCGTTTTGGAGGTAATGTACATACAACGAAATTAACTTAAAGCCAACTCACTTGAAGCCCAGCTGCTATTTTTTATATTTCATGTATTATTTTCCTGCAAGAATGTAATGGAGTTTGCATAGCAGTTACAATACGGAGTACTTTTAACAATTTAGCACAGCTGATGCAAAAAGTAGGTGTATGTACCTACAAGATAAATGTAGTATTTGAATGCGGTAATGTTGAGACTGTGATTTTTAACCTTTTAAACAGTTTAAATGGAAATTAACTTGAATTGAGCTTATGAGTTTTTTTTACCTATTAAAGACAACATATGTCAAAACATATTTCAAGTATAATGAAATCATAGGAGGCATTTGGCGTTTATTTTTCTAAGTAACTTGCTTAGTCTCAGGAAATAACTTCCCAAGTAGTTTAAAGAGAACTGGTCGTCAGTTACCAAAACTCAGTAAGCACATTCAGTACGGCTCAGTCTTTCTTGGGGCCTCTACTGCCCAGGATAAGGGCGATATAATATCAGCCTCAGATTTCCATGGAAAGCTAACGTCTAGAACTGTGAAACGAAATATACTTTGTTCACTGCCAATAATGTCTCCACTGAGTTAAGCAAAAGTCTGACTTTTCTAAAACACATGCAGTTGCGCGCGCGCCCCCCCCCCCCCCCCCTTTCCTTTATTTTACAGAACTTTCAAGAAAGGTGGGAATAGAAAAGAATCAATTAGGTTACAGCACAATAGACCAACCTCTAATGTTTTTACATGAATGACTGGCTCTTTGTAAGTATATGGGTACATGGACTTACTCTCCACAATCAGACCCAGTAATCTTAGCTTCTTGTAGCACAAGTCATGTACAGGTGAAACTCGAATAATTAGAATATCGTGCAAAAGTAATTGCAGTAAGTGCTGCAAAAGGGGCCCAAACCAAGTACTGAGTACATATGCATGCTTGTACTTTTCAGAGGTCCAATATTGTTCTATGTACAATCCTTGTTTTATTGATTGCATGTAATAATCTACTTTTTTGAGGTTGTGGATTTGGGGTTCTTGGGGTTTTCATGAGCTGTAAGCCATAATCATCACAATTATGACAAATCACGGCTTGAATTATCTTGCTTTGCATGTAATGAGTCTATCTCATATATTAGTTTCACCTTTTAAGTTGCATTAGTGAAATAAATGAACTTTGCACGATATTCTAATTATTCGAGTTTCACCTGTATACCTCGTCAAAGTCTGCATCATAACATCAGAAATGAACAAGGAAAGCATTTCCATCAAATTCATGATTGTTAAAAGTTTTCCTGTTCACGGTCAGCCAAGAACCACAAAATGCTTTTTAGGCATGCATGTGTCTACAATGTAGAGAGGACAGATGAGAACTTAGACGAGTCCCTAGATTTGCATTCTGCTTTCAATTATCGGCTATCTAGAATTCCATGAGCCAAGCTTAGGCCAAGGGTGGACAAATCAATACGGAATACAGGAGTCAGTTTTTCCAATACAGGGGCCAGCTCCCTTGACAACAACTATGCACCGACTGTCATTTTTAGGGACCATGGGCTACCCCTTGGGATTGACCAGCGCTGAGCAACGTAAGCGTATCATTTTGCACAATGGACTATGAATGAACATCACTTAACTGACAAAGTGCACTTTGTGTAATCTCCTTTTTGTAAGAGTGACAAGTGTAAAGAACCGTAAACTCAAGTTAGAGATAATTGTTCTAGGACTATTTCGATTTTTTTTATAAATGCTTTATGAAACAATTTTTTTTATTACAGTTCCACTTCAAAAGATCTGATCATTAAAGTTAGGTTGAAGTGGATATGAATTGGCGCACAGACCATTTACAGGGTCATTCTGCCAAAATACATATTTCCTCTTTTTCTTGTAGATGCTTGAAAGCTTAAAATGACCCATCTGCTTCTGTCTTTGAAAACTCAATAAGCAGAAATTCTCTGCTTGAGACCCCGCAAAACTGAAAGATCATTATGAGCCTTAATATGTGCCCCCTAGTGGATTTGCAACTTACTTTACATCACAGAGAAAGCAGCAGAAAGAGTGAGACCCCAACGAGTGAACTTCGGACTTGGCAACTACAACAAGCAAAGTTTTCCACTCTCTGATCTCTGTGTACCTTAACAAGCATGTTTGACAGTCAGAAGACCTTGCATCTTGCTGTCGACCAGGGAGCGGGATCAGATGTTTATGGCCACCCGAATATAGAGAAGCTTTCATCTAGAGCCCACAGCCGTGCACAGAATACTGTATGGCAATTGTTGTAACATGCATGATCATTTGCAACATAAAAGAAAGTGTCTAGGAACCGCATGATGTTTAGAATACAATTCCGATTTCTTTTCTGACCAACAGTAGTTTAAAAGAGTGAAAAAAAGTCACCGTGAATGATCACAAATTGTTTTTATTTGTGAAGTGTTGTCAAGGAAAACGGTATGATCATATCAACGCTCAGTGAAAGTTACACCGGCAATTTACCATGCTCCCTGCTGAGATTCATAGTGATGCGCCGATAGCTTCTAGATAAAAGCAAAAGCAAAAAAAAATGATTGTCAAGGGCATTCACTTTAACCAATACAAGGTTTTATGAGAATGGACGCCGACAACCTTTTTGTGAGAAGAGACAAGTAAAGTACAACCAGGAGTCAATTCCTCCTTCCGGGAGGACGCAGACAGGATTGTGCAGCAATGTCTAAAATTCCATGTCTTCATACCAAATGCTTCAATATACTGTATGTACAGGAATCTGAAGTGGACTCAAACATCTGTGCAATAAGTATTGGAGATTTAAAGTTTTATTACACTTAATGACTGACATCCATTGATGTTGGCTCTAACTAGCATTCTTATGAAAAGGCAATGATTTACTGCTCCCATCTGTTATCTCTTCAAGAAAAAAAACTAAATAAATATATAGGTATCTGTCGGGTGATTAGGATTAAAGTTCAAATGATATTGCTTTTGGTAAACGCTTTAATACTGTAAGATTAAAATGCAACAGGCTCTTTGAGCTTCACTCGCTGAAGTTGATCATTAATGTAAATGCCTGTGACCTGCCAGAAACACCTACTTAGACCCCATTCACATCAATCGTTCTGGAAATGTGTATATTTTGCATGTGCTTTAAGGAATTTCATATGCATTAAGCGGCATTTGTATTTGTTTTTTTTCCTAGGAAACTTTGGTCAAAAGTTCAGACCCAGTACATTTTTTCATTGCTCCTGCATTCAGAAGCCCAAAATATGGAACAAAGTGAACATTTTCCTTTGCCCATACAGAGCAAAGTCAAAAGGTATAACAACTCCCCCTACCACATACTTCCGAGCAGCATATACTCTACAGGCAAGTATAGGCAACTTAAGGGGAGAACTAGATTCATATTGAAGTTATAGTCTATCACAGGAGTGAGCTTGGTGGCTACATTACAACACACACACACACAGGGACCAGGGGGAACCAAATTAGCCACCCTCCAGAAGGAAGGACAGTGTCAGCACCAATTCAGAGATGATTTGAGGAGCTACAGCCGAGTGATACACAAGTAAAATACATGTTTGTTAGTTAAGGTACTTGAATGCATTTAACTCCTGAGTTTAGTGTCACTTTAGGAAAGCAGCTAGCCAACTGTTGTAGAAAAGCATCTGTAAAATCGAGCACCGACAATTTTTCTAAATCATGCATTGGCTGACAAAATATTCACACATATTTACAGTATGTGTGATTATATTTATAGATATATATAGATATATATAGATATATATAGATTGATATATATATATATATATATATATATATATATATAGATATATATATATATATATATATATATCAAACACACATATACATACATACACACACACGACTTGAAAAACCCGCTCGTCCTCTCGTTATGCCGGAGCCGGCCGAGTAGCTTCCCGGCCAATCTCTAGAGACGCCCAATCGCTTGTATTAGCTGCTGCGATTTTGCGGGCGCGCACAATTTTAATGCTCGACATGTTTGGTGTCTGTTTACCCGACGTGACCCCGCAGTAAACTGCCAGAGGTGACATAAAATAAAAGACCAACTGTCAAACATGGAGGAGGAAGCGCGGTGGTCTGGGGCTTTTTGTTGGATACAGAGTCGGCAACTTGCACAGAATAGGTGTGCCATCCTGAAACAAATCTACTACCACAGAATTTTGCAGCACCATGCAATACCCTCTGGTCAGGGGCTCATCCTACACCAAGATAATCCAAAACATAACCTCCACGTTGTGTCAGAACTACCTCAGAAGAAAAGAACAAGACAGTACGCTTCAAATCATGGAAGAGGCAGCACTGTCTCCAGACAATTAAGCTGGTTTGGGTTGAACTGCACAGAAGGGTGAAAGAAAAGCAACCTACAAGTGCAACACATTTGTGGGAACTTCTGCAACAGTGTTGGGAAGAACTTCCCAAACAATATTTGATTTCTGTTGGAGAAAGAATGCCACGTGTGTTCGGCTGTTATATCTGCAAAAGGAGGCTACTTTGAGTTGTCAAAAATGTAGATTATATTTTGTTAAAGAAAATTTCCAATTGTTTATTTGTTCTATGCTTTATTTTCAGAGCACACGGAGACATCAAACTGCGTAAATTTCAATAAAAAAATGGAACAATGGGTGTTCTAAAACTTTTGACCGGTAGTGCATACACATACACACAAAGTCTGTTCCCCACATACATGTGAAATGCCAAAACAAGCCTTTTTTTATATATAAACAAAGACTAAACCAGGGGTGGACAAACTATTATGGAATTCAGGAGCCAGTCATACACACACTATGAGCCAGAAGGATTTTTAGGTGCCAGCTGTGATTTTTAAGCACTATTGGCTACCTGGCTCTTGGTATTTGACTAGCCCTGGACTAAGCATATGTCTATTTTATGTTTTCTGTAAAGATAAAGCTTTGATGCCCAAGTGGCAACATGTAAGCCTTATACAGCCCTAGCAAACATGACTACTTTTGATCTTTTAAACTTCAATGTGCTCTGTTCTCAGTCACATACCCACACTGCTCCAGCTAGATTTCATTGGCCAGGTGCAAAGATAACTCCTTCCACCTCCCACAAAGAACATTTGATTGACATGGGAGTGAGTTTAGCTCAGTCTTGTGTAATTTATCTCTGTGAATAAA